ACTTTTAATTTAAAAAAAAAAAAAAAAAACTATTTGAAACTGTTTGTAGCTCAACACTTCATGTATAAATTCTAAGATGCGTTGACTGCTAAAAAAACAGTAGAAATATCTATATGAAACTGCTTGAAACATTTTAGCAAAAGTTGAAAGAAAATCTGTTGAAAAAAATAGTAGGAATAGGCCTAACCATAAAAAATTTTTTGAAACAAGTTGAAAAGTTTTAGAAAAAATTAAAGGAAAATAAAAAAGACACCCCAATTAGGCCAATATTAGCCACATGTTGTTGAAGAGAAGCATATTATAAGAATTTTTCTCTTGAAATGTAAGCAACGTTTTACTTCATACAGATATCAACGAATGTGACGAAAATCAACCAAGACATAACTGCGGACGTCACACAATCTGTGAAAACAGCCCTGGCTCATTTGCTTGTTCTTGTGTTGAAGGGTATGAAGGAGAACCAACTGCCAACTGCACAGGTGAATATGCAAATTTATAATGACATTTTTAATATTCTTTATAGCAACTGTAAGTATTGATATAATCATAATATTACGATCATATTAACTGTTATTAATTGTAATTATTTATTTTAAATGGTAGGACCACTTCTTTAATTTTGTAATTTCTGTGAAATTAATCATTAAAAATAATCATATATATTAGTAATGTGGTAGATGTTTCTGTTTTTCAAATTTTGTTATACAGTACAACAGAACATTACTGTATTTGTTTTATTTATTTTTTCTTAGATATCAACGAGTGTGCTGATGAGCCTTGTGCGGCTACACAGACTTGCTTTAATCATCCTGGCAGCCATAGTTGTGTGTGCAAGCCAGGATATTACACTAATGCTGATGGATCATGCTCTGGTTCGTTTCTTCCTTCTATACCAAATTTATAACATTTAGACATTATTATAAGTCAATCGTGACGTCATCACTGCAACTCCCAATGTTATTTGCCTATCCCCACAGTCCAATAATTTTTCACATGGTGGACGTTTGGACGTTTTGATTGATGACTGCTACAACAGTTTGTTATCAAAACTAAATTAAAAGACAGCGATTGACTTATAAAGCAATTAGTAGAGCATGCATCGTACACTAGCCGAAAATTATTATACTTCGGTTAGATTTAATGCATTCAAAAATTTCCATCGGGCGTTGCAGGCCCTCAGAAATTTTTTCAAGCATTAAATCTAACCTTCATATAATAATTTTCCTATAGTGTACTATGCATAGTTTTACTAATTGCTTACTGTTAATAATAATTGTGCTTATATAGAGCATAATGCTAGAGCCTTTATGTGCTTTTCAGAAAATTTGAGAAAAATGAAAAACAGAACAATAAAAAGGAAATTGAAATTCAAAAAGAAAAATATGAAAAAAAAAGAAAACTAATCAACATGTCACCTCCAAAACTATTTTGTGATACACTGGAAAACCCACAGTATTTTTCTGTGGACTAGAACACCCCTAAAAATTTAAGAATGCTCCAATCCTGGTTTTCCTCCTCTTTTCCTTTTCAGATATCAAAGTAACAGCTCGTTTATAGATTACATCATGATCGATGTGTGTAATTTTGGCTAGCCAGGATTTACTAGGAGGCATCATGTTCTTAATTACTATTACTGTACTGTGAAAGTGCAAGATAGTAAATTTATAGTATGCTCAGTAATATTCACTTAAGTCTTTCTCTTCATTTTGATGTATTTGTGAATTGATTTATCTTTATCACATCAGATATTAATGAGTGTGAAAGTGAAGATTCATGTGGTACCAACTCGGAGTGTGAAAACAGTGAACCAGGTTACCAGTGTGTA